CACTGATAGGCAGCATCATTTACATTTGGGGGACAAAAGTTTGGAACTTCTCGGCCTTCATATTTATGTAAATATTCATATTTAAATGAATTATTTNTACAATTTTTTCAAAAAATTATAAAGGTATTAAAATAAAATTTTGTGATGAATATGATTAAATTAAATATCACTTACTTGATTACATATAATTTCGGCATATTTATCTTGCAGTCGATAGTAAGCGTCTTTCCAATCCTTCACGCACATTAATGCTTCCAAAATAATTTTTTTAGTCAACTCTCGACCTCGGAGAACTCTCTTCCCTGCACTAAAAGCAGACTCCAAAGTTACAATGCTAACCGAATGTGTTAGTAGATCTTTTGCCATTGCAGAAACTACTGGCCATCGATGTTCATATATTCGTCAAAAATCAATTACTTCTTCTAAATTTTTCCTAATCGCATTGTTAATAGGCATATTATGATTAAAATAATCAATTAATTCAGCAGGGAACGCATTTGGATAATTACTCGATGTTTGAGTACATGCAGTAGAAGACAAACTACTACTACTACTAGAGGAATCACATACATATGCAGTTGAATCATATCTACATGAGTTCATGCCTTGGAATAAATTTATAACTTCAGCGTCATCATCTCCTATATTAGTGGGATGAGTATTTGTAGAGCCGAAGGGTACAAGAGTAATATGTGTACCCATTTATGAAACATATACTTCATACATTTTACATAAAATTTGTTCCAAATTTCTATAAGTAATAAGTACGTTAAAAGTTACAACATTTGAAATTTGATCAATAACAAATTTAGTACCCGATAAATTATATTGGGGTCCATGAGACATGCTAACGGAAACAACATGGGCAAGTCTTCCCAATATTTTCTAAATTTTAATTCCATGAAAAATATAACTGAACTAAAATCGGGGTCATCTTTAAATCTATGAAAAGCCCTAGCAATTATATACAGACGTTCAATGACCATACAACTAGTAGGATAATAAACATTAGACAAAATATTTGTAAAATCATAAAAACTTGTCAAAATATTTTTAATTTTAAAAACTAAATGCCAATCGTGCACATTTAAAATAGTATAGTCGTTATTTCTCATAGGCTTATTGTTATAAAATTCAGTAATTAAATGTTCGAAACCTTCACATGATTTTAATAATAAGTATGTGAAGTTTCATCTATACCCTACATCACTAATAAAGGTTTTTGTATGTCTAGTTTCGCCACAAAATTCCTCAAATGCTTGTTTTCTATTAGTACAATCGTGATATAGACTAGTGTATTCCTAATTTGTTGAATTTCATCATTAATATGTTTTAAACAATCTTGTACTATTAAATTAAAAATATGGCAAACACATCGAATATGAAATAAATAACCAGCGAAATCTGGTTGAAGCACTCTATGCAATTTATCGATAACAAGCTTATTTACACTAGCGTTGTCAAACGTAAAAGAACGAATTTTACTTTCGCATTTATATTCTCTAATAATATTCATAATAGCATTAAATATATTGTTATTGTGTGGGAACTCAATAATTTTAAAAGCAATAATGTTTTTATGCAAGACCCAAAGTGGGTTTATATAGTGTGCAGTTGCAGCTATGTAACCTCTTTTATTAATCTCTTCCCACATATCCGAAGTTAAAAATGTTACACCCCCATATTTTTCTAAATCCACAATCAATAGTTTTTTTAAATTAAGAAAATATTTAATTGTATCAAAAAGAAGAGTATTTCGACTTACCCCAATGTACCTCGGTTGAGGATAATGTTTTACGTAGGAAAGAAATATTGGTTGTCCGCTATTGCTAATGGCAACTCCGTTGCGGCAACGAACTTCACCATTCCCTTTCGGGCATTCTCCTCCAAATACATCAACGTAGATAGTGGCGCAGTAGTAGCATCAACGCCTGGACTACCAAATTGTAGTTGCATTTGACCGCTAGAAGAAGTCCATGTTTGGCCGCACATGTTTTGTAGTGATGGTTGAGGTGTGTGGTTTCAATGCCTTTTTTCCATACTAGTCGTTGTTGATAGTATTTACATATTGCTTTGACTTCTGAAACTCCATCGATCACACAATCAGTTTGAACCAATTTAAAATGGTACTAACATTTTGCCTGCTTCTTTCCATTTCTCTTCCCTTTTGTATCGGGAATATTTAATGCAAGTTCTTCATCCTGTTCCAAATCAATTGGATGACTAGCATCAACATCAACGTTATCCAAATCAATTGGACGACTACCTTCATGAACGTCGAAATCTTGAATATTTTTTGGAATGGGTAATTCATTTAGACTGGTGAATTTATTCCCAAATTGACATTGGGCAGATGTTTCGCCTCCGACACTGAACAAGCTTTCAACAAACGATCGTGGATCCATTTGTGAATAATTGAAATTGAATGTTGAAGACTTTAAGTACAATTGAGAAGTGAATGAAGATTATATAGTAGTGCAAAAAATAAATTATAAAATCTAGATTATAACTCGACAATATAAAAATAAAATGTAGAAAAATATAGATTATAGAATGATGATAATGATTTATAAATAAATTGTAGAGAGTAGAGTAGAGAATGAAAGATTGATAATAATTTTGGTGGGGAAAAAATTGTTGTAATGGATGAGTATTTATAGGGAAGAAAAATGAATTGAAAAAAATAAATTATTAGGGACCAAAAGGGTCACTGAAAATTCAGTGACCGTTTCGGCCACTAAGTGACTAGAAGTCTAGAACGGTCACTGAACAAAACCAGTGACCGTTCTGGTTATTGATTTTTACTTTTTATTTTTTTTACATGAGCCACGAGCTGGGTTAGCTCGTGGCTCCTGTGAAAAAAAGCCCACGAGCCTGGCTCGCGAGCTTTGCTCGTCGAGCAGGCTCGGCTAGTTCTCGGGCTCGTTTTTGGCCGGCCGTTTGGCTTGGTTGCCATCTCTAATTTGAGGTGAAAGTGGTGGTGGGTTGAGGATTTGAGGTGTCTGATGGCGATTTGGTGGTGTTGACAGTGGTAAAGTGGGGTGGGGTGGGGTGCAATTTGTGACTAATTAATTGGATAATTGTGATCGATTAATTTGATAAGTTTGACCCGATAAATAAGGACATAAAAAGTATGATTTGTGAATAAATTTGTAATTGTGATCCTGTGTGTGACGTTATGTCGTTATGTAATTTGTGAATTATACATGATCGTGAACATGTGACCATAAATTTTATAATATTGTTACCTTGACCTATTTAATAATTAAGAAATGGTTGAATATATGATAACTATGTATTTTTTCCATCCTAAAATTACCCAAAGTTGGATCTTTAGTCTGGGCATAGGCCTGTAGTCAGAAGACTTCTAAGTTTAGTTAGGCCTGAGTGAACAGAACTAGATTTTCGACAAAGCAAACCCAATTCATGAAGTATGGACTCAGTCAAATTGTTTACACAGCTCCCTATTGGCGTGAATTCCTATTGGTCATTGATCAGAAATTTCCTCTTCTTTTTATTGCGTATAGACAGGTGGTAAATTCCTATTCATTTTATTGGACTCTTGACGCTGCTGTGGAAAATTTAAAGTCTCATCACTATGAATATGAATTGGCCCCCAGCCAATAAGGGGACACCACATGGCCCATGTGACCCTAGCCATGTCATTTAATTCTGTTGCCACATCAATTCTATCAACTTTTTTTTTTATCAAAACTCAGCTGTCTGAGTTGCTTAACTGTTCATTATACGTGGAAGGCCAAGAGTCAAGACCACGCGTTTTCCAAGAAACTGCTCTCTTGCAGTTGAACCCGCCAAAGAGCCTGGAGTTGGAAAATCAAGATTGCATTTTCCAGTCAACAAAAACACCCCAAATTACACGCCAGTATTGGTCGTTCTCAACAGTAAAGTCTAGTCAACTCCACTCTCACCTCTCAACTTCCAATATGTATATGATTCTTGGCCTGCCCCTTAAAATTCTTGCACCAGTCTTTACACGTGTTTATGCACTTCTTTCACACACACACGGAAGAAAGGTTATTGAGAGCCAGAATGAGCAGGTATGCAAAAATTGCTTTCACGCTATTGATTTTCTTGATTTATATTCAATTGGGGTTCTCTCAGTTGCCTTCAGATCAGATTAATACCATGAGTAGGGTATATGAAATAATTCAGAATGATACTGGCACACAATTTGTTTGGAATAATGTCGCAAAGGACTCAAGCCCATGCTCATGGAAAGGAGTTAAATGTACTCCTGATAATTCTTCAATAATCGAAATATCTTTCCGCTTGTTTTCAATTTCTGGTTCTGAATTTCTCCCAGTTATTTGCCGGATTGGTACTTTGAAGACTATTGATCTCTCTCATAATTATTTCAGCTCAATCCCAGGTGGGTTCATCACTGATTGTGGAGAGATCAGTGGATTGAAATTGTTGAATTTTAGTACGAATCGATTGGTTGGTTCTTTGCCTAATTTCACTGGTTTTAGGATGTTAGAACACTTGGATTTTTCTCAAAACTCACTTACTGGGAAAATTGATTCACAATTTCTTGAATTGGATTCCCTCAAGAGTCTGAACCTTAGCCAAAACAATTTCACTGGGGCTGTTCCTATAAACCTAGGAAAATTGTATCTTTTAGAGGAACTACAGCTTTCTTTCAATCAATTCACTGGTGGGATCACTTCACAAATCTCAAATTATGGAAATTTGAGTTTGATTGATCTTAGTCTTAATAGATTGTCAGGAATAATTCCTGATGAACTTGGAGGGCTATCGAAGTTGAAAATCTTGATACTGTCTCTTAATAATCTAAGTGGTGGGATTCCGAAATCACTTTCCAGTATGACTACACTACTCCGATTTGCTGCAAATCAGAACAATTTTAATGGGACTATCCCGCCTGGGATTACCACTTACCTCAGAAGTTTAGACCTTAGTTATTCGATTTGTCTTACAATAAACTGGAGGGTTTGATTCCTGAAAATATTTATGCAAGAATGTTTAGGCTGAGGCTGGGAGGGAATTCTCTCAATGGAACACTACCAGGTGAATCATTGGGAAGCCTTGGGGAGTTGATGTATTTGGAGCTTGAGAACAACAACTTGACTGGATCAATCCCTCCTGAAATTGGCAAGTGCACGAATTTGGCGCTGTTGAATTTAGCCGGAAATGGATTGACAGGTCCTCTGCCTCCATCATTGGGTAATCTGACCAACCTTCAAGTTTTGAATCTTCAATCAAACCATTTTGTTGGAGAAATCCCTACTCAAATCACAATGTTGCATAGATTGCAGAGGCTTAAATTAAGCAGGAATTCACTGAATGGTTCTATACCGGATTCAGTTTCCAGCTTACAGAATCTCACCAACTTGGATTTGCAAGGAAATTATCTTAGTGGTTCTATACCTGATTCCATTGAAAACTTGGGTAATCTATTAGAACTTCAGCTTGGGAAAAACCAACTTAGTGGGCACATTCCAGAAATGCCACGGAGTCTGCAAATTGCTTTGAATCTCAGCTTCAATCTCTTTGAAGGGCAAATTCCGGGTATTCTATCAAGATTGACTGGCTTGGAGGTTTTAGACCTCTCGAATAATAGATTTTCAGGCGAGATTCCGGAGTTCCTAACGAAAATGCAAACCTTAACTCGATTGGTTCTAGCAAACAATCAGTTGTCCGGAATGGTTCCACAGTTCGGTAAGTTTGTTGATGTCAACACAACAGGAAATAACGTTATGTATTCTACACAAAATCTGCCACCTGCATCTCAAAGGAAGAGAAAATCAGTTGCCTCTGAAGCTATTATTGCATCTGCGGCTGCTGTCATAGCTGTTGGTTTAATAACCTTAATATCTTTCTTAATTTCCAGAAGATATTACAGGATTAACGATGAACACTTGGACACAGGAGAAGAAACTTCACAACCCCAAGTCATCCGAGAAAATTTGTTGACTGCCAACAGCATCCACAGATCAAATATTGATTTTTCAAAAGCCATGGAAGCAGTGGCAAACCCCTCGAATATCTTCTTGAAGTCGAGGTTCTCGACTTACTACAAAGCCGTCATGCCATCTGGTGCAAGCTACTTTGTGAAGAAACTTAACTGGAGCGACAAGATATTCCAATTGGGAAGCCATGAGAAGTTTGGTGAAGAGCTGGAAATACTTGGAAAGTTGTGTAATTCAAATGTCATGATCCCATTGGCATATGTGTTGACAGTCGATAATGCTTACCTCTTCTATGAATTTTCCCCCAAGGGTACACTTTCTGATGTTCTTCATGTTGGTTCCAGCAATGGTCCTTTGGAATGGGCGAGCCGTTACAGCATTGCTATTGGAGTAGCACAGGGCTTAGCTTTTCTCCACGGATCCAACTCCAGTCCTGTTCTCCTCTTCGACCTTTCCAGCAAAACCATTATGCTTAAGTCCCTAAATGAGCCTCAAGTTGGAGACATTGAGCTTTGCAAGGTGATTGATCCCTCAAAGAGCACGGGCAGTCTTTCAACTATTGCTGGTTCCATTGGTTACATCCCTCCAGGTAATGCATTTTACATAACTTAATAACAATCATTTGCTGCATTTTCTTTTATGATACCATTAAAGATATGGAAAAATTTCTGTGATCTATGTGATAGTCTTATTGGTCTTTCTTCAATTCTTGCTTAGTGCCCATTTGGCAAGCTTCTACTTTAGCCTTTTGTAGAAGAGCTTTATGAGGAAGGTACATTTGGCCAACTTCTTCTAAAATTTTTCGAACCAGACAAAGTACTTCCAGAAAATTATCAAAACATTTCAAATTACAACTTCTTAGTCTTAGAAGCAGCTTTTGGCTTTTCAAAAGTCCACCAAAAATGCCCTTATCCTAGATTTTTCTCCCTAAACTTGCAAATGTTGTGCAAACGGATTAAATGTCTTCTCCTTTACGTTTCAGAGTACGCATACACAATGAGACTCACAAAAGCTGGGAATGTCTACAGCTTTGGTGTTATTCTCCTTGAGCTGCTGACAGGACTGCCACCGGTAATTGGAGGAACTGAACTAGCCAAGGTGGTGTTATGCAACTCAGCTCAGCAAAATAAATGGGATCAAATTCTTGATTTCAGTGTGAGTAAAACATCAGCAGCTATTACAAGACAGATGTTAGCAGAGGAATTCCAACGAAATCGAACACATAGTACTTCACCGGATGACAGACCGAACATGAAAAGTGTTCTGCGAATGTTACTAAACGCAAGGTAATAAGTTTAAGAGAGACGGAAATTCAACAATTGAAGAGAGTGCTGGTCCAAATACAAATCTATTTTTGACAGTTTTCTGCTATTGGTGTGGATTAGACTTGAGGAGTTTTTGCTTTTCAATATATATAGGTAGAGGCTGTGAAGTTCTCTTATTCAGGCATGTGAAATATTTCTAGTCATTAAGAATTTACCCTCGTATGTACATGTATACTGTTTTGAAACCAATGTTTATGTTATGTATACTTGATATGGTGGCACTTAACGCTCAAGGAATAGAAATGAAATCCCATTCTAATTATCTTTCTCAATATATTTGATAAGCGAGACTAGACACCGCTATAACAAAATTTCAGAGTCGATTCTCATTTAATACCAATGTCCACTCCTATCTAGAGTTACATGCCAAGCAAGGAATTGTATGGTGCAAGACGAGACTCAGGAAGTGGCGGCAGCGACAAGTGGTGGTGGAGAGGGGTTGGCAGAAGTGGGGATGAGGTGAGGTGGTTTTGGGGGATTCACAAAGAACATGAATATTCCATGCAAATATTATAGAATTATGGTAAGTGTACATTACATGAGTTACATTTTGGTGTACGTTTTGTGCAAATTCAAAATGTTTTGAACGAGAAAGTATGTTGTTTTTAAAAACTGTTCAATCATGTGCTAACATATGACACAATGTCAAAATTAATGTAAAACAAAATGTACATGTAGAATAATTGAATATTATATGTTTATCAACCATTCACTCTACCAACTTATAGCTTTAACAAAAATAAAACATAAAACCCAAACAAAGGCATAATTGTAATAATGCCCAACAATTTTAATTTCTACAATTACATGGATAGAGTTTATATTTTATACTTCTAATTCATATTCTATCATCAGTCTAGATTAGAGAGATGCAAATAAGCATATGAGAACTATAGAAAAGAGGTGGAGAGATGGAATCACGATGAGAGAATTTTGGAAATGCCGAAAACCATATAGTTAGAACTGGAGATGGTTTGTTTAGTAATTTATTTATTTATTTTTGAAATCTGTACGTAATTTCGAGCAAGAGTTTCATAGTTATAATTTAAAATATTAACAAATCAGTTGAGCTGCAAATTTTGGGTCGTCGATTTTGTTTGGTTCAATTAGAGAAGAATAATGATATTTATCATTATGATGATGAAGTATCGATGATGTGTTAGTCTATGTAGAATAATGAGATTGGATAATTTTATTTTTATGAGAGAGGGAAGAGGAGACGTGGTCTCAAGAGTGAGAAATGTGAGGGATAACAGATTATCATATCCATCATCATGATGATAAATAGCATTAGTCATTAGAGAATCACCCCCAATTAACCGATTGATTCACCAATTTTCAGGGTCAATCAGGCCAATCTTGGAAAGATTTAAGGATTTTGCTACATCTACATCAAAATTTACATAATGGATTACGTAATACCAAATATCACTCCATCATTTGCCAATTTAAACACAATCAACTTTTTCATTCATTTTTTTCCCTCTAAATAATTTTCAGTAACTGCTTGTGTACTTTTTTATTTCTTTTATTTTTTATGTACAAGTAGCAAAATCCAATATTTAATAACTATATTTTTTTGGCACACTATCACTAATCAACACCCTCCCCTGCTCCTTTTTTCCTTCCAAACAAGATAAAAGGCCCTGAGAACCAACAACTGTGATCGCATGGTTTATCATCGCATACATGAAAATATTGATTGGTGGGATTTGAGAATTAAGTGGCCCCATTTTGATACATGATAAAAAAGTTGTCTTCTTGGAACCCTCATCGAGAAATTTCAAGGTAGATTGATCCTCTTGTGATTGTGAGATTGCAATACGTGGCTTGAATTCGGAACTTTATTGCTTGAATTTGGCATTGATTCGTTGATAACGTGACTTACTTGAAATTTGAACTTGACTCTTTTTGGGACTTGGGTTGAATTTGCTTTTGATTTTGAACTTGAAGAAGATTGTCTTCTTGAGATTATCGATCTTGGGCTTTAGAGAATTTTCTTTCCTTCTCCCTCTGAACTTTTCAATTTTCTCTTGGGCTTCTTTATGAGATTGTGATTTATCTCAATCGCTTCAATTTATGATTTTTTTGAACATTATGTCCTATCTATAAAGATATTTGATAACCACCTTTTATAACCATCCAATTATATTTATATTAAAAATAAATTAATTATAATCATAATTAGGTGAACTGAAGGCAATCTTAAAAGAGGAGATTGTACCAACACCTATTTTTTCATTTTTTATTTCAATAATCAGATAATAAAATTATTCTTTAAAAAAGGAGGTGCACCGAACTCTATCCTACCACATTTCACACAACCCCC